TAATAATGATGTTAGTCTTTGAAACCCTAAAACTCTATCCAGATACCCTATTACAAGAGGATGAGAAAAGCATTTGAAGACTTTATTCTTTTTGGTCCCATAATACATACTACCTCGTAATAATTACAACAAGTACTAATTAACATAAATTTGAACTTGTCGTCATCACCAAATAAATTTCTTAAAAGTCAATACTACTTCATCAGTATATTTCGTCCTTATTACAACTATAATCCAAACTTTTTATATTTTGAACAATATAATAAACCGTACTACGTACATTATGTTCATATTATAATAAATCCGATTATCCAAACCAAATTCATATAATGGGTATATATGGCTATATGCATGACAGTCCAACTAACGCCCTACCTTGGGCGCTTGGTGGTTGTTAACGCATAACGCCGTGTCGCGATCCTTGTTGGTACATTAAGATGGCAACCATGGTTGTAGCCTAGGCCATGGGTGTAGAGTGAAAGTTTTTAGGCTAGCTGATGCCTTCAATTTTGTTTTACATGAGGAGTATAAATTAAAGTGGGAGAAAGGCGAAGAAATAGTATTTGGAAGTTTTTTTAGTCTAGTCTTGGTTTTTCTTTGTCATAGGTTTAATAATTTAGTTTAATTCGTATTCATTTTCATGATCAGATTAAATACATTCTCTTTATTCATTGTCATATGTAATATGGAGTAATTTGTAAATTAAAAAAGGATTAATATTTAGTTGATTAGTATTTTATATTATAGATTTTAGTAATGTTATAATACTTTCTCAACCAGTCTATTTAAACATAAAATTCACATCTAAATAATTATGGACTTGTTTATATGCAACTTGAAAAATTTATTTATCCGCGGAAACATGTATTCTATAAAATATTTGGAGGCACCCTGATCTTGCTGACTAAGTATATTCTATTATTATATGAAAAAACATAGAAGTTAATCTAAGTAGTCTTACTAGTTTCGTTGATAGAAGAAGAAGACATTGTTGGAATTATATTTAATGTTACATTGTCAATGAGTGAAAAATAATAATAATAATAATAATAATAATAATAATAATATATAAATAAATACGTAGTAGGTGTTAAACACTCCAAAAATAATACAGTACGATTAACAACATATCTGCTAGCCTATCATGTGCTCAGAATCAGATAAATTAAAAAAAAAAAAAAAAAAAAAAAAAAAAAAAAAAAAAAAAACCAAATACCATGTGACTATTTTCTTGTATGCTAACCGAGTCAAATTCTTACCTTTCAACTTGCAAAGAAACAAAAGAGGAAGATAGAAAGAGAGAAAAAAACCATTTGATAATCACCATTAATTTTTTTTATTTATTTATCTTTTTTTTTTTTTTTTTTTTGTAATAACGGTCCAAAAAGAAGACTTAACTCCCAACTGACTCAAGACTACAAAATTAAACGAAAACTTAACTCTCTTAGCCAAATTAATACAAGAACTAAAGTGGGGATTGAAGGTACAAATATTGTGAACTTCTTAACAATGCAAATTAGAGGACTGAGGGGACTTATAAAAAAATATACTCCGAATCATTTAGATAAATTATGTGATTATGTTGAGAAAAGACTGTCACGTCCTAACTTATTTTGTAGCTTTCCTTTTGTAAAAAAATATTATGCGGTTATTAAAGTTGTAGAATGAAGGTTGAAAATTTAAAGTCATAACAAATAAACCTCATTAGAGAGTGATCAAAAGAAACTTGAAACAATGAATGAAGCTTTCGAACGCAAAATGTCAATTATGATAATGACGCAAATTTTGAATTAGACCATCTGAAGGTACAAATTTAAAAATACAATTAAAAATTGCACTACTCTCTTTTTTTTTTTTTTTTTTTTGGGGGGAAATTACACTACTCTCTGTGTTCGTAAGTACTTTGTATCATTTAATTTGTCTCTTCCTTCGTTTCTAAATACTTGCAGTACATAACATTCTAATTAACTGTATTTGGGATAATCCTCTAATTTTTTTTTATATCCTTTAACTCATATACTCATATTGCAACTTATTCTTTTTTTTTTTTTTTAAATTTTTTTTTTGTAATAATCACAAGTTTTTCTAGAGTTTAAGAGCAAACACAAGCATTGTGTTGAAGACTAGAAAAGTATAAAGCTATTAGGTATAAGAATATTGTTTTTGTGTACTTTAAACATAGTCCGATCTAATTGTCCAAATATATAAATATATAACTATACGTGCGTGAGTAATATATGTAAAATCACCTATTAAATCTGCAAAGACAAACAACTAATCGAATTAACGTGTAACATACATCTATTTAATAGAGCGGCACTTCTCCCGTTCTCTCTATCTTATTAAAAGAAAACCCTAATAAATGAGTCAATCTAAACAAGAGTAAAGTTGTTACGAAAAGTTTGAAAAAAAAAACATAATGAGTCAAGGATAGATCACAGATGTACACCCATGCCTCAAATAGGCACAATTGATATTAAACTCAAAAATAAAAGTAAACAAACAAAAATAGTAAATCATGTACTTATGTAATTATATACTCCATCTGTTTTCGTATTAATCGCAATACTTTCTTTTTACATTTGTTTTATATTAATTGCAACACTTCTATATTTGAAAAGGACCACCATTATTTTATAATTTCACTCTCTCACAGTCTCACTAAACCCACTTTTACAAATATATTATTATTTCTTTTTTCTACCAACCCCATTTACACTGCTTTTTTATTATTCTCTCTCCTATTAACAATACTTTAAACTTCGTATTATAAAAAATCATTTTTTGAGCCCTACACTATAAATTTTCTTAAATTTAGTGAATATTCTAGTGTTACAGTTAATACGAAACAAAGAGAGTAAAGTTTATTATTATTTAGAATAGAAAGAAATTTATAATTAATGGGGGTGGTGTAGGGTAGAATACTAGAAAATGTACATACTCCCGATTCCCCCACCAAAAGGAAGAAGACAAAAGAAAGAATAAGTAATAAAGAGGGATTTCAGTCTCCACTCAATTCGTAGCTTAAATTTAGTACGTTGTACACAACAAAACATAAACTCTGAACTCTGAGGAAGGCAGACGTGGGTGTGGGTTGGGGTTTGGGGTTTGGGTTTCTCACATCAGATCACCTTCCTACCTTCTTGTCTCCTTCCTCCCGTTTTATTCTTCTTCCATCACCCTGCTTTTATTGTATCTTTTTCTTTCCACACTACTTAGATTCTTTTTATATGTCTTCTAATCCTGCCAATCTAATATGGACTCATCATCAATACTTGCATCATATGACATTTTTATATGTCTCTATAATTACTCTTTCTGTTTTTGACCTTGTAAGAGGTGTCAAAAGTTGGCACAATTCAAAACAATTCGGTTTAATATGAACTGGTCTGATTTAGAATTTGATTTGCATGGACACATCAACAAGTTAACAAGACTCAAATAAAAAATGACCTACTGACATCTAGACATGATTTGAACCTATTCAATGATGTTGATTAACAACTCTACTTGTTTGGCTTCTAGAGGTTAATTAGTTGTTAGATGTTAGCTATTTGTCTGTATTGGCTATTTGGCTTATTAGAGGCGTCAAACTTAACCAACTCGAAGCATCCCGACCTAACCTAAATAAATCTAATCAAGAAATAATTAATTTGCATGGCCACAAGAAGCTAGCATGACCCAAATTCAAAAAAAAAATTCACTTCAACTACACCTGACCAGAACGTAACCAATTACTCGAATTAACACCTCTAATTGTTTGGCAATGAGTGGTTAGTTGTTAGATTTTACTCCGTAATTGTTTGTCTGAGCTATTTTATTGGCTAACTATTTATATACGTAGTTTAGGTAACAGTTGTTTGGTAAATAAAATTTAATTAATAGATACTCTATCCGTCCATATTATTTCTCCTGTTTCGGGGTTTTTTGATGTCCTGCGGGAGAGTTACAATTCAGGGACTGGTCTCCTTGCGCCTGTACCTGCAAAACAACGGAGACTCCTTGTGGTAGGAGTTCTGCCTCCGACGGTCAAGTTAGTACTTGTTTGAGGAGTAATAAGTGCGGAAAAGTAAAGGTTGGGAGATCTGGTTCCTCTAGGGGAGGAGTGATCAGTGTGTTTAGGTTCTCTAGGTGAGAATAATTAATTGCTGAATCTCGCTTTAATGAGGATTAATGAAGGTATTTATATGCCTTGGGATGCGTGCCAGTCCTAAGTTTAGGTCAACCTAGGGCTGATTGAGCTTCCACAAGACTTTGGGCCTAGGTGGCCGGTTTTCCCATTTGTCATGGGGGGAGGCCATGTGTCGTAGCATAAGAGGTCCAAGGTGGACTGGTCAACACTTGACACGTGGCAGACTCCAATTGGTCCATGTGGCGGACACTTGGAAGAGCCTAAATGGTACACTTGTCAGATGATGATTGGTAGGGAAAAATCCTCTAATCATTTGCCCCTCACAGGTGGCACGTGACTGTTCACTTGTCACCTGTGACAGGTGTCGGCCTGTAACAGGCGACGACGTGCTACAGGTCTCGCCCTATGACGGGCCCAACATTTTTCCCGCTCATTTTTTTTGAATTTTGGAAGCGACTCTTCAACTTCCACAAAATCCCTATATAAGGGCCTTGACCGAAAGTCTTTTGTTCACACTTTGCATTTTCTGAAAGAGAACACTCGGACCCTTGCATTTGAGCTCTAACACTTTGCAATTTTTGGACTATCGACTGTTACTGTCTGGCCGCCTACTTTCACTGGACGACTGCTTTTTTCTTCTACCAGAACTTATATTTATTCAGGTAACCGTATGTTTTTTTTGTGTTTTTCTTTACTTTCTTTTTTGTGAAATATGGTACCTCGAAAGCATACGACACGGCCTAGGTTAGTGATCAGCCGGTCACCGGGGACAGCTGAATCTAGGACTAGGAGTGCCGCCTGCCCCTTTTTGGACCACTCTTCACCCTTTATACATAGCCCGACTGTCTCTGTGTCTGTGCAGAACATAATGGCCCGAACTAAGAGGACAACTAGATACACTAATTCACACGGCTCCTCATTTTATGTGCCGGTGAGCGAGACATCAGACCAGTCACCGGCTGTTGAAGGACCACAAAGCGGCTCTGTGGCCGCGAGCTCTGAGGAGGGGCCCAAGGTGGTCCCTTCGCACTTTACTGTTGACCTGGCCAGTCGGCAGTTGACCCCTGAAGAAGAAGAGGATTCGGCCCCCTTAGGAGAGGGGAGGAGTCAGACTTTTCTGATAGTGAGTCTGACTCTAGCTCTTCAAGTCGCTCTTCTGTAGGTTCAGAAGAAACACATTCTCGCTTGCATAAGGCGAGGCGTTCTCATTCGGTTGATAAGGGGGACGACTGGGCTGAACCATCCGCCTCCCACAGGGAGTTGCATACCCCTTACTATTTCCACGTTCCCAAGGGCCGAATCAAGGCCATGAAGGAACGCTTAGACTCTTTTCTATTGGACCATGTGATGGGTGCCGATTTTCTACCATTTGTGCCGGATGCTGAAGATGGTGTCGTCTGGCCTGCTGGCGCCAGCTATGGGGACGCCTGCTTTGGCTGTTATGAGGCGGCCATTAAGGCGGGTCTTCGATTTCCCCTGCATCCGGTCGTTCAAAAAATCCTCGACGGATACGAGGTGGGGCTATGGCAATTAGCCCCAAATTCCTGGTTCAACATCCTTAGCTATGTAGCCGGGTGTGAAATGCATGGGGTGGAGCCGAATTTTGAGGTGTTCACCCATATGAACTATTTAAGACGGACCCCCAAGGCAAGCGGTACCGGCTGATACCAAATAACGAGCCATAAAGGCTATCTGATGACGAGGGGGAAAGAAAACAAATGGAAGGATTGGAGAAACATCTTCCTTATCATCGACAGTCCCGACAAGCTGCTGAACCAGCGCTATAATAGTTGGAACGGAGATCTACCTCTTCTAGCAGGCGGTCGTAGCATGCCACTTGTTCCCCTCAAGGCTAAGGAAGAGATCCTGGAACGAGAGCTTTTCAAAGTAGAGATTAGGGCCAACTCTACTACGAGGAACGAGAACAGGTGCCCTTACACTGCGTCCCCAAAGTCAAGTGGCTCTATGATGAGTACTTTCTGGCCGCCTGCGGCCTTAGTAGTCGGACCTCTAGAGGTAGCCGACCACTTGAGCATGTATACGCATCTTTTGTTTTATTTCTGAGTTATTTCTAACTCTTTGTGTTCTTATTTGCAGTTGAAGCTATGGACCACATCTCTGCGTCCAAGAAAGCGGCAGCCTTGTTGCGGACCTCCATCCTGCACTAGAAGCAAACCGCAACCGACTCCGCCAAGGAGGGGCCCCTAGTGAGTTCTGAGCCTTGTACCCTTGTCTTTAAACCTTGATTCTATATATATATGTTGACCATCCATCTATATTTTGCAGGCGGGCACATCTAAGCCTTCCTCTTCATAACAGGCAGATGCGAAAGCTTGCAAACTGGCAATAGGGAGCTCGCCTGGCTCCTCCAAGAAACGGCCGGCTGAGAAGCCGGCGCAGACTACCCCACAAAGTGTGGGGAAACAAGTTTAAGTCCCAAGGGATTGTCGGCCGCCGAGAGGTATAATCTAGCTCTGCTCACTAGTAGAAAAATTGAATTCCGCACCGCACTTTTCGTACCGGTTCTTGAAAACCGGTGGGAAAAGAAATGGATGGGATTGGAAAATAGAGTTTTCGCACCAACCAAACCGGTGCGAAAAGTGAGTTTTTCCCACCAGTTCTAACCGAACCGGTGCGATGCTGTTGCTTAAAAAAAAAACCCGGTCTGCCTCTAAAATTATACTCTTTCTGTCTGTCTTTCTTTCTCTTTCCTCCATCTCTTTCCCTTTCCTTTTCTCTCTCCTTCGATCTCCTTCTCCACCGGCGGCGGCCACTTTCCCCTCTAAATATATACTCTCGCTTTTTCTTTCTAGATCAATCGTTTTTGGAGTGAGTATTTTCGGATTTTCGAACTGGGTGGGTGTTTTCGGGTGAGTGTTGAGTATTTCTTGGTGGAGTGAGTTTTGGTGGTTAAGGTTTAGTTTCAAGCAGGCGGCGCCTTCTAATCCGTGCATCCCCCATTGAAGAGGCAGCTTCTGAGGTAACTTGTTGTTTGAATCTGATTCATTTTAATTGTCAATGCGATAAGTTTAGGGTTTGAAATCTCAATTATTTTTGATGTTTGAATCAAATTTACCTTTGAATTTTTGACCCTAATTTGTAATTGAATCAAATATCCCTTAAAATATGTTATTTTTCGAGCATAATTTGATAATTGAATCAAGTAACCCTAAAAATATGTGCTTTTTCGAATTTTGATTGAATCAAATGGGCTTCTGTTGAATTTTGATTTGATTTGCATGTGAATAGTTTACCGTGCTTTTAATTGCGATGATTGCATCCTGTTTATCTTATGGATTGTTAATGATTGCTTACTGTCATTTGAATCAAAAATTAAGAAAAACCATTTTGTAATAGTACATTTTTTTAGAAGGGATTGTTGTTATATGTAATTGAGAAAATGGGGTTGTAATTTTTAATAATAGTCTTGAACCAGAAGGAGGCTGATGTTGCAAAAGCAAATGTCGAGCTTGCTGCTTTGAAGGCCGGTTGGTCTTAGTCAGCTCAGTTGGCAGAAATTGAGGTTGAGCGGGCTGTTTCCCTTAGAGGGGCCGAGTTGCAAATCGAGGTGGAGAAGAAAACTACTAATTCTAATGAGTATTTTCTTAACTTGTTAAGAGTATATGTTTAACATTTTGCTTTTCTTATCTAGTTCAGTTTTCTTTACTGAAATTATTAGCTGTTAATGATTTTATCCTCTTGTGTAAGTATCTGTTTAGTTGATGTTTATGCTGAGCTTTTGTTAATAATTTTTTTTTTTTCATTTTTACATGTTTGTTAGCTCTGTATAATTATTGATGATAAAACTTGTATGCTATTGATGTTATGTTAGTCTCTTTACCTCTGCATTTTCGTACCAGTTGAATTCGGTGCAATGGTTAATTTGCAGTTTAAAATAAGAAGGTAAAATAGGCCAGGTTTTTGTTGGTTAGTTTGTAATTTGGTTTTACATGATACCTTGAGCAATGTGAAGAGTATGCCTATCTTCTAGGGTTTTGTTAGTTTAGAATTTTCAATATTATTATAGGTTATTAGTTCTGAAATATATTGGCATTTTCTAAGGTTTTGTTAGTTTAGAATTTTCAATATTATTTTTATTAGCTTCTAATTTTCTGGGTTCTATTGGTTTAAGAAGAAGTAATTTAGAAGTAAGACAATTTCCAATGTGGGAAGGTGTTTTAAACAGTATCTCATCCTCTTAGATCTTTAGCTGCTGCTGTTGGATGCTGTCTTTGTTTTTCCAGGCGGCTGAACTGTCAGCTGCTTGTTCTGCTTACTGCTGGTTGATCTGCCTGGTTCTGTTGTGGCGGAGCTCTACTTGCTACTCCTATTCTTTGTTGGGTGTTGTTGTTGCTGTGTCATGCTTTAGTCAGAGTAGCTTTGTGTTTCTGCTAGTTTGCTGTTGTTGGGGATGGCTGTCGAACTTTTTCGTGCGGCAAGATTTACTACTCTGTTGTTCACCTCTTGACATACAGTGTATAATATGAAGTATTTATTATTTTTTCATTATGCTTGCCAGTTGTACATTCTGTTGATGCTTAAATTTTAAATGATTGTGGTACTTCAAACTTTGAGGTCTGTCCTCCCCTGAAGTTTACTAGGGGAATTTGTATGTTACATAAAATGCGTCAAAGCATTGACCAATGATGGAAATCTATATATTTTGAGTAGTTGCATATGGATGTCTGTCGCTATTAGCCTTTACTTACCACCATCACCATTCACTTCATAAAGCTCTCTTTCTCTCCATGCATATATACTTACACGAACACACACACACACACATTTATCTATCTATCTATCTATCTATCTATTGTGATGATGGTATGTATATGGTTTTTGTGATTGCCCTGTGCATGAGTTATGCACATGATTTGTTAAAGCTATGAGATCTGAGGGCTTTTGACAAGTAGTATGACGCCATTGTTTGTTTTGTACATTATGATATTAGTTCTGTTCTAATTAATTCCATTCTTTGTACTTGTTCAGGGGTTTGGGTTTTGTTACTTATCTCCTCCTTTGGTTTAGGAAATCAGGAATCAATTATTTGTAGGGTGTTACTGCTTTAGATAAGCATACGAGTAGCACTTAACTTTGCGTGCAATCCCCCTGAATCCCTCCCTAATGGTGGATATTTTGATGTTGTTTTATAAGCTTCATCTCCCAATGTTTTGAAATATTTTCAGATGATGATTGTTTCTTTGAATTTGTATATCCAATCTCGATGTCAGTTACTTGTCTACTCTGTAGTAGTTAACTAAACATTTGAATCCCCTATATATTATAACAGAGTAGGTGATTTTAAATTATGTAATCAAATCTTGGGATTTTTTTGGTACAGTCATTCTGGTAGTCTCAAGGAGATTCATGAATGTATTATTTGTAAATGTGTTGAATTTTACTATTTTTAATAACAGGTTACCAAGTCTTAGATTGTTTATCATGTTATATAATTTGCTGGTCAATTGGTTAACTATAAAGTAAAACCAGTCACTCTTCAACAATTTCTGAAGTTCTCCTTATTTGTGCACTTGCAGATTCCTCACTTGAGACCCACTGAGTACAAGAGGTCTAGATTGCCTAGGAACAGAAGAACTGTTAACCGTCCCTACGATGGAGTTCTTTCCGGTAGTGCTGTTAGAGAGCGGTATAGTCATAAATTTTATTATTTTTGGAAGTAAACGTTGTTAAATCTTTTTTACTTTTGAATGGAGGTGAAGCTAAGTGTAGTTATTATAAATAATTTTATACAATGAGTAACTTATTTTGTACCTCTTCCATTTTATTTATACTATGCATTTTTTCTAGCATTCCTTCCCCAATCTCAAGATCTCTTAGGAAGTCAAATATCCCTAAAAGTCAACGATAATGACTCATTTTATCCTTCTAGTAGCCACCTTCCTCCTCTTCTCCCTTCCATCCACCACCGCGGTAAAAACTACTCCCATCCTCAACATCAATGGCCGTCCTCTCGAAACGGGTTCCAACAACTATATCCTCCCAGTGATCCGAGGCCGAGGCCGAGGCCTAACAATATCTCCTAAAAACGCTACAGAATCATGCCACTCTACGTAGCCCAAGAAAACCACGAAGTCTCTAATGGCCTACCCCTTAAGCTCTACACGACTAATCCAAATGAAAAAAGAATCCCTCTAGGCTCCGACGTTTGCTGTTGTTGGGGATGGCTGCCAAACTTTTTCGTGCGGCAAGAGAGGAAGGCAACGGTGAACCTGAAAGGCTAAGGTGATCATTTCTGTTCTTGAGGTCTTGATGTTGTGTATGTAGGTTGCTGCAGTTGGTTAACCAGACACCATATTATACAACCAAGAGCTCATATGACTGGATTATGCAGGATTTTTTAAGGGACAGTACAAAGGTTCAACAGTTGGTTGAGTTGTTTTACCATGTAGTTTGTGCAGTTGATGGTATTGCAGGGGAGCGTGTGTCGATGAGGGTAAGGTGCTATAAACTGATTAGTGTTATACAAATTATTCCTAGTATCACTTCTAAAGTTCTAAGTTCTAACGATTCTCCCGGAGTAAAGATAGTACAATTGAAGTAGTGCTTTGATTAATTTGTTACAATCCCCTTGTAATTTTGGTAATCTATACTGCTTTTTCCCAGGTTAGGTAAGTGAATATTTACGAATTAATTTTTTATATCTATTTAACAGGTTGATTTGGATTGTTCAAATGGGCGCAATACAATTGGTGTGTTTACTCATAAGAGTTTGTCAGTGTAAGTATCAAGTTTATAGTTTTAGCCCAGCTCTTACTATCTTAAGATTCTGACCTGCTGGTTGTGTGTTTTATCGCTTGCTGCACTTTATGAAATTTTAAAAGACACCATATTCCCAAAATCAGCATTGCTTGGGATCTTTTGATTTTAACAGACCTTTCAGAATATTTAATGGACTTTTGCAGTGTCTATCTCTAGTGTAATGCTTTCTAATAAACGTGTAGGATACTTTAACATAGATAAATATGCTGTTAAAGAAAATAGAACTATATACTGGGAGTGGTTATATATTCTGAGACGCAATCCATGTAAGAAGGTAGGACCCTACTGTTGGTATGATGGTCTTAGTATTGATGCAATACTACCTGGTGATGAATTTAGTAGAGGACTTTTGTTATGTCTCTACCAGGAATCTTCTAGCCATCATCTTTTGTTGTTGCTTGGCTTCCTTTTGCTGGTTTGCTTTGGCTTAGGGGCTCGTTGCTGCTGTTTTCCTCTTCTTGGGTGGAATTGAAGCTTGTTTGGCTGCTGCCTTCCATATGCTTTCTGCCAACTGTTTTTTTTTATTATTTATTTTTGGGTTTTCTTTTGGCCTTTTTGGCCTTCCATATATATTTATTACAGTTGATTGCTTATTTGAATATATAAAGTGACTATGTTGTCTAGTAATTGCTATGATGCTAGCTGCTGTTGGTTAATGTGCTACTTCTTACATGTGCATGTTTGTGTGTGTTGGGATGGCTGCTGTTGCCTGGTTACTGCAGGCTAGTTGGCTGTTGTTGACTGGGTGCTACTGCCTGGCAGATGGATTTCCTAGAATACTTGAAGGGAATAAGGAGGGAATGAGTGTAATCACATGTGTACTTTATATTTTTTCTTCTTCAGTTTTTTAAAGTGTAATATTACAAGTTATTGAAGAAAATATATGTGATTTATGTATATTATGATTATATATAAGTATTTGGTATAATTTAAGTGAAAAAAAATGCAAAAATTTTTTATTTTGTTTTAATTTTTTAGGGTATTTTTGGCACCGGTTTTGGTAAAGAACCGATGCTAAAATTTTTATTTTAAAATAATTTTAGGGACTTTTGGCACCGGTTCTATATCAAAACCGGTGCGAAAAGTCTAATTTCGCACCGATTTTGAACCGGTGCGAAATGTATGGGGTTTGAGCACCCCCCAAATCCGGACCGGTTCAAAACCGGTGCTAAATGGGGGGTTTGAACCGGTGGGGATTTCGTATTTTCTCATAGTGGCTAGACTTAAGCTTTTTCTTCAATGTTTTCTTCATTATTTTGACCTTTCCATTCTTTGGATGCAGGCGGCCCTCAAAACCAGACTTGGTCGAGATGGCCAAGTCTATGATCAAGGTTATCCCTCCAGAGGAGAAGGACACGGTCAAGGGAGTCGGCACCCTTGACTTAGACGGCATCATGGGTCTCCTATCTGAGGTATACTTAGAATTTTATAATATCGACCTTGCCTGCCGCCTGTTATTTTCATACCTGGCGCCTGTTTTGTTATTTTCCAATCTGACGCCTGTTTTTCCCTTTTTCAGACCCTGCTGCGAGTACACGGCCTCCGTAGGCCGATTAACGCCAAGAATAAAGAGGTAAAGGCTGCTAAAGCTATGGCCGCCTCTGACTCTGATAAGGCAATGTTTCAAATTGCCCAAAATGAAATTTTGACAACTAATATTCTTTATTATCAGGCGCAGGCCACTTCCACTATCCGCGCTGAGCTGGAGGCGGCCAAGAAGAAGAACAACGAGCTGGAGCAGGCGGTCAAGAGCCTCAAAGATGAGCTGCAGCCCCTTAAAAACATCGCCCATAAGGCTGAAGGTCTGCAGACGTCTCTTGACACACTCAAGGAACGCCTGGAGAAGCAGGAGGCGGCCATCACCAAAGATCTTAATGCGAAGGCCGAGGCTGAAAAGATGGCTTTAGCTCAAGCCATGATGGAAGACTCGGCTCAGATCATGAAGATGACCTGGACATCCCTCTTCCCAAAAGCTCACTATGCTGCCTGGGATAAGAAGTTCAACGCTTGTACTGAAGAGCACAACCGAATGATCATGCAGCAGGCGGTTGGCGAAGATGAGGCGGCCGACTCCAACTCTGAAGAGGAAGAAGAGGTGGTAGCCCTGCAGCCGATTGAGGTGGATGTGTCTAAAGAAGCTGCCCCTGATGCCGAGACAAGTAAGAAGGATGCTTCCAAGAACCAGGCGTCCCTTGTTGATCAGGCAGCAGTCAATACCGAAGCCCCGCCTCAATCTTAAAGCTTTTATGTCTTTAACTTTTCTTCGGCCTGCGTGCCGTTTATTCTTGTATCACTTTACCCGGCTAGGGGGCCGGGGTATTGAATATTTTGCTGGTCTTTATGGCCGGCTGTTTATATGAATTCAGCGACCATCTTTTGGTCATCTTTGATCACATAATCTTGTTTTATGCTTTATTTTTGCAAAGTGTCGAGGATCCTTGATATCCGCTTGCATGTCATACCGACTGTTTCGGCTAAAAATGTTTTTAAAATTTGTAACGTATCGTAAGCCAAAGATTGCGAACAGGTACTAGGTACCGACTGCCTACGCCCCTGGACGACTGATTGTCTTGGTTCCAGGTTAGGCGATCAGTCGACCATTTACCCAGTCGGACCCCCAACGTATTTTAGGAAACACGTTAAGTTTGTTTAACTTTTTCAAGTTAGAAAGGGACAAACCACTTATACCCAGCCCGCCTATTTGTTTAAATAGGAATAGTTCTTGAGTCCCTGTTTGCCAAAAAACAGTTGACCTACGAACCAGATTTTCAAACATGTTTGGTTTAAAAAGAAATCGTCTTCGTAGGGGTCATGGTACGAGAGCTCTTCTTTTCCTTTGGACAGGCGGACTCGTCATACCTTTTTGGATCCTAACTAAGTATGATAAAGTGACTTATGAGTAATCTTTGAGATTACCCATTCATCAGCTTTTATGCTTGAGTAGTAGAGGTACCAGGCGGCGGAGGCCAGCTGATCCCCTTGGTTCACCAATTTTTGTTGGCTATTTACTCAAGAGGTACCAGTTGTACTTATCCCAAGTAATACAGACGGTCATCCGACGCGGATGTTAACTGCTAACACTTGTTTGGTTTAGTGTTAGAGTTATCCTTGTCTCAAAAACGGCTACGTGGTTGCCCCTGGGGACAATCGTCTAGGTGTCGTGTAATTAGTTTATAGAGCAATGTTCCACCCAAAAGGGAGCTGCTCTCTGCGACGAATTTCATCCGGAGGGATGCCGTCGGACGCCTACTATTATGTTGGGACAGGTCGTATTAGTTTAAAGATTGGATCAGTTGGTTGAGCGCCTGGTCTGATCATTCGGCCATAGGCCTTGGGTAGTTCATGGAAAACTAAGTATAGGAGAGTAGCCGACTGTATAGCTACAGGCGGTGTGCCCCTCTTAATTGAATGCATATTTGAGTAATATGGAGAGTAGCCGACTGGTTTTCCAGTTGGCATGCCCCTCAATTGATGAGATAATGGAGAGTAGCCGGCTGCTAAATGGAGCAGTCGGCATGCCTCTCTATATACAATATAGATGAAGAAAAATAGCAAACTTTATTAGTAGCTCTCGGCTATTTACATCATTCAAAAATAATACTTCTTTAAATTATCTACATTCCAAGTTCGAGGTAAGGGTTGGCCGTCTGGTGTTTCCAGGCGGTAGGTGCCGTCCTTGACCTCTTCATAGATTCGGTAGGGTCCTTCCCAGTTGGGAGTTAATTTTCCTGACTCATTAGCCCTACCGACTACTTCCATCTTTCTTAGTACAAAGTCCCCCACTTTGAGTGGACGCCTATGTACTCTTTTGTTATATGACCTTGTCATTTTCAAGCGGTAGATTTCATGGCGCAGGGCTGCATTGCCTCTCTGTTCTGGGAGTGAGTCCAATGCCAAGCGAATGGATTCCCAATTCGCCTCTTCGTCATACAGCATTATTCGAAGAGTCGGCTCGTAGTGTTCAATTGGTAGAACAACTTCTGCCCCATAAGTTAGGAGGAATGGAGTTTCTCCAGTCGCCCCTTTTTCAGTCATCCTAATGGCCTAGAGAACATGTGGTAGTTCGTCTGCCCATAGGTCGCCTGCTCGTTCAATCTTCTTCTTAATACCGTTTGAGATGATCTTATTGAAAGCTTCTACTTGGCCGTTTGCTTGTGGTCGGCCGACTGATGCAAAGCAGTGTGAGATGCCTTGGTCTCCCAGCCAATTTTTGAGAACATGCGTCTCAAATTGGGGACCATTATAAAAAACCATAGACATGGGCACCCCAAACCGAGTGATGACATTTTTCTAGATGAATAAGATCACATCCTTTGTCTTGATTCCTTTAACAGCCTCTGCTTCTACCCATTTGGTGAAGTAGTTGACTACTACCAATATGTACCTTCTGCCGCCTGTGGCAGGCGTATAGGGACCCAGGATATCCATACCCCATTTAGCAAATGGGATTGGACTATGGATGGTCGTGAGGTCGGTGGCCGGCTGATGGATCAACTTGCCAAACCTCTGGCACTTGTCACATTTTTTCACCATCTCCACGGCGTCTGCTTCTAAGGTAGGCCAGAAGTAACCCTGCCGCCTTGCCCGTTTAGCAAGTGACATGCCGCCAACTTGTGAAGCACAATACCCTGAATGTAGGTCTTCTAGGACCTCTCGTCCTCTTTCTTGGGTCACACACTTTAAGAGGAGCAAAAGAAAACTCTTCTTAAATAGTTTGCCTTTACACATTTCAAAGTTGGACGCCCGTTTTTTTAGTAGGGCCGCCTGGGATTGATCATTCGGCAAGGTGCCGTCTGTTAAATACGCCCTGATTGGGTCCATCTAGGTTAAACTTCGATCTAGAACTCCAATAGGTTCTTCTTCAACACTTCTCTTTTCCATAATTTCCCAGAAGACGGTTCTTGGAGTATCACAGGAGGCCGAGGATGCCAACTTTGAGAGAACATCCGCCTGGTTGTTTTCGGACCTGGGTACTTGAGTTAAATGAAACTCCTCAAGTTACCCAGCCGCCTGTCGTACCGCCTGCAAATATTTAATCATGGTCGGATGGGTTGCTTCGTATTCGTCATTGTATTGACTCACGATCAATTGTGAGTCAGAACAGGCGTCTATTCTTCTTGCCCCAGCCGCCTTACACATGCGGATACCAGCCTGTAAAGCTTCATATTCCGCCTCGTTGTTCGAGGCTTGGAAGTTAAAGCGTAGAGCATATTCATACCTGTCGCCTTCTGGCGACTGACATATGACGCCTGCCCCACAACCATTCGAAGTGGAGCTCCCGTCCACATAGACCTTCCAAACTTGGTCTGGAATTTGAGAATCAGTGAGCCGAGTCATCTCTACAATAAAATCAGCAAATGCTTGCCCCTTTACCGCTCTTCTTGGTTCAAATATGATTTCAAGGCTCTGAATCTCTATCGCCCATTTGATCATTCGGCCTGACGACTCCATGGTTGTCAGTGGCCGCTTGATTGACTGATCTGTGTATACGACGACTGAATGTGCCAAGAAGTAAGGCTTCAATTTTCTAAATGCCATGAAGAGAGCGAGACCGAATTTTTCCAGTAGGAGGTACCTCAACTCAGCATTCTTCAACACATGACTGACAAAGTAGACCGGGAGCTGACAGCCGTCTCTTTCAGCAAGGAGGACGACACTTAGAGCATGGTCAGACACTGCGAGGTACATGTAGAGCACTTCTTTGGGCAAGGGACTGACTAGCCTTGGTAAGGAGTGCAAATGGACTTTTAGTCTTTGGAAGGCTGCCTCAGCATTCGGCCCCCATTCAAACCTAGCTCTCTTCTTTATCGCCCGATAAAAGAAAAGGCACTTGTCGCCTGACCGGTTGAGAAATCTTCCCAGGGCCTCTAGACAACCTGTTAACTTCTGAACCTCTCGGACTGTGCGAGGCGACTGCATGTCGATGACCGCCTGCACTTTCTCAGGGTTCGCCTCTATACCTCTCTGATTAATGAGAAATCTGAGAAACTTCCCAGACTCAACCCCAAAAACACATTTCTTGGGATTGAGCATGACATGGTGCCGCCTGAGTGTGGTGAATGTTTCTCGGAGGTCGGCCAAATGGTCCGTTTGAAGCTTGGACTTACAATCATATCATCAATGTATGCTTCGACATTCCTTCCAATTTGGTTAAAGAAGACCGTATTTATCATTCTTTGGAAGGTGGCCGGGGCGTTCTTCAAACCAAACGGCATGACAGTATAGCAATACAACCCTTGATCAGTGATAAAGGTCGTCTTCTTCTGATCCTTCTTCCATAAAGGGATCTGATGAAAGCCAAAGTAAGCGTCCATGAAGCTCATTAAGGCATGGTCGGCTGTTGAGTCGACCAGACTTTCGATCTTAGGCAATGGATAATTATCTTTGGGGCACGCCTTGTTTAAATCAGGGTAGTCCACACACATTCGCCAGGTACCATTCGGCTTCTTTACTAGTACAACGTTTGCACCCTAGTCAGGGAAATAACATTGCCGAATGAACCCGGCATCAAGCAACTTTTTAACCTCGGTGGCAGCCGCCTGACTTCTTTCTTCACCATGGTTTCGTTTCTTTTACCGGACCGGCTTCTTTTTCGGATCCACAGCTAGTTTATGCACTGCCAAGTCTGGACTGATACTTGGCATCTCATGTACCTCGAATGCAAAGATATCCTTGAATTCCTTCAAGAGTTGGAGAAGATCATCACCCAACATTGTAAGAGCAATCATCCCAACTTTGACTGTTCGGTCAGGACGCGAGTTGTCCAAGACGACATTTGTATGCTCACCAACCGGCTGAGGGCGGAACTCGTCTGACCGCTCCTCTGCTAGTGATTGCTATCGTTTTTCTTTTCTCTTGGCCCCCAATTGGGCAGCCTTTCTTTTCTTGTCGCCTGCTGCAAGCGCATTCACCTTGATCTGTTCAAGGTCATTGTTCTCTCCACTTGGGCCAGCAACTACTATAGTGGGTTTGATATCCGAGAGGTAACATTCTCGGGCCATCTTCTGATCTCCCCTTAGGGAGCCGACTGTTCCATCATCCTTATCAAATTTGAGCAGCATAAGAGATGGGATGATGACAGCTTTAGAGTTGTTCCATCATGTGTTAGGCTGACAGTTCTTCAACAACTAAGAACCGGACCACCATGTGACGACCCTCCCCTTTCTCACCCAGGCGGATGGGTAAATCCACCCGTCCCACTGGGTGTACAACACTTCCTCCAAACTCTACTAAAGGGTGAGATACCGGATGTATGTAGTCAGGTTTGTACTTGAGCTTTGCCAAGCACTTGTTGCTGATGAGATCAGAGGAACTGCCGGTATCTATGAGGATCCGACCAACTCTTTGTTTGGCCACTTTACATTCAATGACAATGGGGTCGTCATGCGGCCCC